CTGGTCTGCTGGTTGGTGACCCTGCACATAGCAGGGGGTTGAAACTAGATGAACACTGTGGTCCTTTTCAATCCAGGCTATTCTGTGATTCTATGATGACAACTCAGATTGTTGTCAGCACAAACGCTGCACAGACAGCTTTCCTCTCAGCCATCCTAAATAGAGTATTTCACTGCAGCACACAAGGATGACAACAAACTGGGGTTTTACCACTGTTTTATGCCTTCGTAACATACAGACAGACCTGCAGAGGTTCTCTTTAAGTCAAATCTAAATAAACACCTGGGCTGAGTAACCGGAGCACATGTGAGACCCAGCAAATTCAGTGGATGTCACCCGAACCCTGCTGACACTTCTACTCACCGTGCTCCCTGCATGGCTGCACTCTGCAGTCTCAGAAGGATGAGAAACAACAGTGCTGCCTGCACTTTGCTGCAGAGACACCTTTCCTTCGCATGCAGCATCTCTCTCTTGATTTATGCAACTTGGAAAGTTCTCTCTGTTGTTGTTTTCTTTCTTCTGAGGCACAGAAGTACTTTTCTGTGCACTGTCTGCCTCAAGGCTTTTGTTAGCATCAGCTGGACGAGACCTGGGGGGGCTCTGGAGAGGCTTAAGGTCTAAGGGTGGTTTCTTAGAATGCGATTTCTTGCTGGCAGAAAAGAATGCTGCTCCCGACTGAAGCTTCAGAGCCGGTTTCACTGTCATGCTGAGGACTCTGAAGGGTGAATCCATCTTCTTCTTAATTAGACAAGGAGTATTCTCTTTCCCCGCACTAGGTTTTTTAGGGGGTTTATCTGCTTTCAGCTTCTTAAGGGCTTTGGGGGCAGTTTTGCCATGCTTGGAACTAGCTGCAGGCCTGGCTGGCTTCGAACTCGTGTTCCTGCTGACATTCACATTAACTTTCTCAGTCCTGCTGGCAGCCAGGGGACTCTTACAACTGCCCCCCTCCCCAAAAGCTCCATTCTCACTCAGCTGTTTCCTCTCTAGAATAGTAAGGTATTGCTTTTCCTTGCTATAAAAAGACAGCACGGGCACGATGGGCTGGTAAGAGGTAGCAGGCTTAGGGGATAACTGGGAGGAAACCTCCCTGCGTGCAGCAGCGGGGATGCTGGCAGCCTGCAGTGGGGACACATCCAACCTCCTCAGTGGTGCTGGCTTCACAGAAACAGCTCCACTTTCCTCATCGCTGGAGCCAGGTGACCATTTGATCTGAGAAGAAAACCAGCGAGCTCTTGATTTCTTGAGGCTTTCAGCAAAACCCAGTACCCTTCTTTTCACAGGAGTCTCAAAGGCACTATGAAAACAACAACAAAGCAAAATGCCACATATACTATTGACAGGTTTTCAGTTATTCTTATGCTTAAGTAATGCTCCAAGTCCACTCAGCCTAGCTGTCTGCACCAGTAATATGCACTTTCACAAACAAAGACCTGAGGCTGTCAACAGCCATTTTGTTTTCTGCTTTCAGTGGGGGGAAGCAAAGTACTTCACACCAGGTTCTGAAAGGCACGCACTGAATTCTCACACTGACATATTTCAGAGCCTAAAACTCTGTCAGTGCTATACTAAGGGTTCAAAGGGGATTCACTTTCCACAAAAGACACATTCAGCTGTAACATATTTGCTTGCTGTAAATATTTACTGAGGAAAAATCTCACTATCTCAGGAATTTGTCCGTCCAATTCAGGAGAAAAACTTCACCCTTGGTCTCCCCCCCGAAATATTTTTGTGGGTGAAGGACAAAACGAGCATGAGAGAAACCTGTTCTGCTGTGACAAAGTTACAAAGGGAGAGGAACAGCCTGTTCTGTGGGATGTAAAGCTCAGCTTCGTGTCCATGGCCGGTGGGTGACTACATTTGTGGGAAAAGATATACCTGTAAGATATATGTAAGAAAGGAACTCATGGGGACTAAAAGTGCTCCTGGGGTGCAGCAGGTCCAGAACTGCCAGCCAGGTCAGGACAGCCCATGCTTCTATGATCATTTGCACACTTTTAAGTCTTTACAAACTGGAAAAGACTGAAACTCTATCACAAATAAAAGTAAACATCAGAGTTTTATTTCTTAGGTTCCTAAGCAATCATTTTTCTTAGGTTTCCATTGGTTTTGGGACCTCATTAGGGTTGTGTGTGAATGTCACACATTTGACAAAGGTGACTGCCAAAATAAGATACACTTATTAAAAAGAAATAATAGCTCTGGCACACAGCAACATGGCTCTGCAAAGCACCAGCTTACTGTGACACCTTTTTCTTGTTTCTAATTCTGCACTGATTGTGCTTTAGACAGAAGATCAGTTTCAGGTTGCCTATACATCAGTTGAAAGCTCACAGCACAATATAAAATGCTGTTGTCATAAATATAGACTAATCCCAATGCATTTCAAAACTACCTTAATACTTATTTCCACTACATGATAAAATTTTCAAGAATTTGAAATATAAGTTGCAACCCCAGATAGAATCACAGAATTGTAGGGGTTGGAAGGGACCTCCAGAGATCACTGAGTCCAACCCCCTGCCAAATTTCATAGAATCATCTGAGTTGGAAGGAGCCTTTAAAGGCCATCTGATCCAACTCCCCTGCAGTGAACAGGGACAGCTACAGCTTCATCAGGCACTCACAGTCCCATACAGCCTCACCTTGGCTGTCTGAAGGGACAGGGTAGCCACCAACTCTCTGGGCAATCCATTTCAGCACTTCACTACCCTTACTGTAAGAAAAAAAAAACATTTTCCTTATATCCAGGCTATACCTCCTCTCTTTTAGCTTGAAATTATTTCCCCTTGTCCAATCGCAACAGACCCTGCCACAGTTTGCCTCCTTTCTTCTTACAGCTCTCTTTTAGATACTGATAGGCCACACTCATGCCATCCCACAGCCTTCTCTTCTCCAGGCTGCACAACCCCAGCTCTCTCAGTCTATCCACATAGGAGAGTTTTTGCACCCCTGGGATCATTCTTGTAGCCCTCCTCTGGATGCACTCCAACAGCTCTATGTCTCTCCTGTACTGAGGACTCCACAGGCTGGACATAGTACTCCAGGTGAGGTCACACTGCACAAAGCAGAGGAGCAGGATCCCCTCCCTGACTCTGCTGGCTACATTGCTTTTGGTGCAGTCCAGGATACAGTTGGCTTTCTGAGTTTCAAGGGCACAGTGCTGGCTCATGGCCAGCTGCCATCCACCTGTACCTCCATGTTTTTTAAATCTACAGACAGAGAATTCACTGAGAGCAGTCCTGGGGAGAAGGCAGTTCTGAAGGATGAAAAAGGAGGACATGAGCCAGCAGTGTGCTCCTGCAGCCTGGAAGGCCTGGGCTATATCAACAGAGGGGTGCCAGCAGATAGAGGGAGGTGTGACTGTCCACCTCTATTCTACCCTTGTGAGACCCCAGCTGGAATACTGTGCCCAGGCCTGTGCTGGAAGGATGCAGAGCTGTTGAGAAGGATGCAGGTTGAAAGGTGGGCCATGAAGATGATCAAAGGGCTAGAGCACCTCTTCTATAAAGACAGGTTGATGGAGTTGGGCTTGTTCAGCTTGGACAAGAGAAGGTTCTGGGAAGACCTCGTTGAGGCCTTCCAGTAGCTGAAGGAGGCAAGAGGATGACTGATGTTTTGCACAGTCTGCTATCAATAGGACAAAGGGGAATGGCCTTAAACTAATTCAGATTAGATACAGAGGAAATTCTTTATTCAGATGGCAGTGATGCCCTGGCACTGCTGCCCACAGCTATGGGTGCCCAAGGCCACAGATGGGCCCTGGGCAGCCTGAGCTGATGGGGAGCACCCAGCCCATGGCAGCAGGGTCTGTAAGGTCCCTTCCAACCCACCCATACTATGATTCTGTGAATTCATGTTCAGGACAACATTAAAAAAAGAGGTTTGTAAGCAGTTAACGTACGTCTGAGTGGGGCTCTGGCTCCTCTTCTGTGAGCTCACAGCTGCCATGTCGCCAGGCGAGCACCTGCAGGAAGGCATTCTGAGTCAGGTGAAATCGATTTTAGTTAAAGCTTTCGGTTAATGAAGGAAGAGAAGTAGGGAGATGGCAACAACGATTAATGAAAGCGGTTTTCAGCCAGGGCAGGGTTCGGAATAATGTTTTAATTGAGCATATACAACAGCACAGAGAAGATTTCTGCTTCGAGACCTAACCAGAGCCTTCCAATACCCAAAGGGGGGCAATAAGAAAGAAGGGGACAGACCCCCAGCTCCTCCCAGGACGACTCCAGACCCCTGAGGCCCCGCACACCCCCGGCCGCACTCCGCCTCACCTCAGCGCCGCCTCCATCACGGCCACCAACCGTCCCGCGCCTTCCAACCCGCGCGCGTTCACCCGCCAGGCCGCCCATCCGCTTCTCATTGGCCGAAAGCCTTGCCGCTCAGCACAACGCGCAGGGCTATTGGCCTGACTGCGGCCCGCCACTCACATTTCAGCCAATCAGATGGCTATCCCCACCTCCCGGCGGAAACTCCAACTCCCAGCGTGCCTCGCGAGAACAGAGCTGCCTCTGGGGAGGGGCGGTGCGTGAGGTATGCTGGGAGCTGTAGTTCGCAATGCACGCTGAGGCTTGGAGGCTTGGGAAGCGCTTTGCCCAAGCAGTGCCACAAAGCTCGCAACTCGGAGTTCGACTAAAGCGTTCAATCTAGAGGAATTTACAAGGATTTAAGTAGCGAGGGCTGACAGGACCGGACTGTGGAGAGCCCTCTGCGAGGCAGTGGTCTAGACACTCAGGAAATACAAAGCAAAAACAAAACGCTCCGGTCCGAGCCCCGAGTCCACCTTGCCTCAGACCGGGAGAAAACGCTTCGCGTATGCACACTACGCGCAGAGCGGCGGGGAAGATCTGCGCATGCGCGAAGCGGCGCGCCAGTACTGCAGCAGCGACTGGAGTAAGCGCCAATGATCTCGCCCAATCACGTGTGGAGCATCTACGCATGCGCATAACGCCCCCTCGCCTCACATCCGGGAGACTCGGCGCATATTTATTACGTATGACGCATGCGCGGCTCTTGGTGCGCATGCGCACTGCTCCTTTCCGGCCTCCGTAGCCAAGAGCGGGCAGCGGTACCGTGAGGAGCCCGGGCGGGTCGGGGTGGGCCGCGCTGCCGCTATGGTGTTCTACTTCACCTCCAGCGGTGAGTCCGCGGTGAGGGGGGGTGGTTTCAGGCCTCTTCTTGCGGGTCACTGTGAGAACGGCGTGTTCCCTGCACGACGGTGGGGCTCGTTGGCCTTCTTCACAGTGGTTTTCTCCGTGGAGGCCTCAGCGTGTGGCGTTTCCTCCTCATGTCTGGCCGAAATTTCCTCTCCTAAGTACTGGAATGTTGTTGTTTGTTTTTTTTTAAGCACTGAAAGGCTTCTTTTCTTTTGTATGCCCCAGATCCTTTCAGCAACGTATAACTGCAGTGTGTTGTCCGTGTGTGGTTTTTACTGCGGCCCTATAAGTTACTGTTCTTATAACATTATCTGCCTCAGTTCTGGAGGTGAACTTCCTTCTAGGATTGCCGTTTCCCTCGGGCAGTGCTCAGCCCTCCCATCAATCTACTCCGAGGATCCCTTTAGTAGGGCAAGAAAATGTTAGCCCCAGGTGTCACCTGCAGAGGTTCAGGTTGGATATGAGGAAAAAAATCTGCCAGAAAGAGTGGAGATGCAGTGGCACAGCTGCCCAGGGAGGTGGTGGGGTCACCATCCCTGGAGGTGTTCCAGAACCATGGGAATGTGGCACTTAGGGGTGTGGTTTAATGGGCAGAGGGCACAGAAGCTTTGAGTGGTACTGGAGTGGCAGAGCCATAGTGCAGCACAGTTAAACCTGCTGATGGTGTAAACCATCTCCTGTATGGAGTTTAGTAGATTTCTGATGTGATTTAGTCATAGAAGAGGACAGAGTGAGAATGCCACTGTAGCTTGTTTAAGCTGTGTTGCACTATTATTGATGTGTATGCTGAGTTTAATTGCCCTCACAGCTCAGAAAACCAACTGCACCAAAAGCATTGTGTCCAGCAGGGTCAGGGAGGGGATCCTGCCCTTCTGCTTTGTGCTGTGTAATCTCATCTGGAGTGCTGGGAGTCCCCAGTACAGGAGAGACATGGAACTGTTGGAGTGCACCCAGAGGAGGGCCACAAGAATGATCCCAGGGATGGAACAGCTATCCTATAAGGACAGGCTGAAAGAGCTGGGGCTGTGCAGCCTGGAGAAGAGAAGGTTGTGAGGTGATCTGAGAGCAGCCTGTCAATATCTAAAGAAGAATTACATTGAAAGAAGGAGACAGACTCTTTGGCAGGGTCTGTTGTGATGGGACAAGGGGAAATAATTTCAAACTAAAAGAGAGATATAGCCCGGATATAAGGAAGATGTTTTGTTGTCGTTGTTGTTTTTTTACAGTAAGGGTAGTGAAACACTGAAACAGATTGCTCAAAGAAGAAGTGGGTACCTCATTCTTGAAGACACTCATGGTCAGGCTGGGCAGGGCTCTGAGCACCCTACTGAGCTGTAGATGCCCCGTTTCATTGCAGAAGGGTTGGATGAGATGTCCTTTAGAGTTCGCTTCCAATTCAGTTGATTCTGTATTTCTAAATGGTATGGGCTGGAAGCATTGTCCTGCTAAGGTTAAGGCAGTGCTCTCCCACTCTTTTCAGCATGGGCTTCATTTTCATGAAATCACTTCATATCTGAGCATATAATTTTATGTTCCTATGCAGTGTCTGTGTTCATGGTGATCTCTCATTCTTTGCACTCCTCTTCCTGTGTTTTCAGGGTAGATTTTTTTTCAATCTTTAACTCTCACCAATACGGAAATGCAAATATATGAAATGACTCTGTTTCCAGTTGCCTTATTACCAGATGTTATTTAAATAGCAACAGGTTTCCTTTGAAAAGCATTGCAATGGCACGAAGCTGACAGTCTGCTCTCAGCAGTCCTTTGTGTTGAAGTAGGTCCTTATTGATGAAAGCCAAATTTCAGTGCGGAAGCTAGAACTGTGACACTAGTAGATAGGTTTCTATCACCATGGAATTGAGATTTTCCTGCTGCCATCTACAATGGCAGAGCATTTTTTTAAGCAGGCTGCTGCAGGACTTCCTTGGCCGTGGCACCCTCTTACTGCAGCCTCCATCTCCCTGCTGTGCTGGCTGTCGATCCAGGTTTGCCAGAACTGGAAATGCCTTTCCTGCATTATGGAACGAGCCCTGAAGAAGAGAGCATCATTGTTCAAAGTGCCCTGAAGGGGTGCAGATAGGACAAATGAGTTTCTGGTTGGTGTTTGGCTAGCTACAGGCTTTCAGTTGTCTTGCAGATCTTAATCCTCTCAGCTCCCCCAGGGAGGTGAGCATTGTGCTTTGGGGAAGTGAGTTTGTTTTGCTTGACCACACAGAGAGTTAACAGCAGACTGTAAACACAGCTTGGTATTCCTGGCTCAGAGCCTGTGTGCTTAATTGGACAGATTGTATCTGTGTAATTGGATAATCCAAACCACATGGGTGCTGAGGGTGTTTTGCCCAACAGCCGTTCTGTGCTACATAATCTTCAGTGGAAACTGCTGGAAAGAGCCTCCAAAGAACTCTGAAGCGTATGGGATGAGGTCTGGAGGAGCTGCAAAACAGTCCTGCAGCCGGCAGGAGGGAAGTGGGATGCATAAAACAATTTTCAGTGTAATTTCTTTACCCAGAGCCAATGCATGGCTCATTCCTTGCACGGTTTGTCCAAAGCCCTCTTGATTTATTTTCCTCTTTCTATTCCTCAGTTGTTCCAACTGTTTACACCATTTACATGGGAAAAGACAAGTATGAAAGTAAGTATGCTGTAAGTAAGTATGCCGAGGGATGATGGATGAGGCAGCTTGCCTGGGGTTAGGCCTGGGGGTGCCCAAGGTTATTTTGAAAGGATGTCTCTTCATTTGTTAACTTGGTGTACTTGAAACCGTGCAAATCATTCTGAGTTACCCCTCTGAAATCCACTGTGCTCTTTTAGCTTGGATGGATAAACTTATGTACAATGACTGGCTTCAAAACAACTGAAAACCAAACTAGCTGAAAAAATGAGCCAAGACAGCCTTTTCAGATCATGTCTGATGACTTCCTTCAAGTCAGCCTCCCCCTTCCCTGCTCCCTCTATATTATTTCTTTCCCCACTAAACATTGGTAGCCCAGAGGCTCCCTGTGCCTGTCCTTCCCCTCAAGGTGAAGGTTCTGCTTCTGCTGCTTCTCCTGTTTCCACATCAGGAGGCAATGTGAAGCCATGGTTCACACCATGCAAAGTGCTTTGCTGTGTCTTTCTCTGAAAGCCTCCTTTTTAGACTGATATTTGGAGAAACAAATTTTACATGAAACTGTCCACATGTGACAGGAGGAGAGGAAGAGATGGAAACTGAGGATCCTCAGTCTCTCTTCTCACACACACTGTACTCAGCAAACTGGTTCCTGGCATAGCTGCATGCAGCTGGATGCAGTTCTAAGCCCTCTCTGCTTCTGCTTGATCCCCATGCTCTGTCTGATTAATAGAGATTGATTTCTGCTCTAGTCAGATCTCTGCAGGCAGTGCGATTTGTTGCTGATGAGGTCCTGTGCTTTGCTCATTGCTGTTTTTCTTCTTGCAGATGAAGATCTAATAAAGTATGGTTGGCCTGAAGATATCTGGTAAGTCCTTGAGTTCTGTGCACACCTTCATAAAGCACACTGTCTCTCTTGGTGCTGCTGCAATTCAAATCCCAACCCTCCTGCTGCCACAGGCACTGCAAAGTCCCCTTTCTCCCAGACTGCTGAGCAGTTTATATGCATTCCCAAGGTGGAGATGGATTGCAGCAGCTCCAGGTGCAGATGCTGAGATGCTGTTTTGAATTCATTTTCCTGTATCTCCCCTGCTTTGTCCATTGGAAGAACTTAACTCCTGGGATGGGGTTTCTCAGGGTTTGGGGAATGCAGCCAGAAGCCTCCTGAGCCACAGTGAATGCTGTGCCTACAAGTGTCTTTTCCTCTGCATGTGCTTAATGTCATCACTGTGTACAATGTGGATATCTGCTGTCCTGTGCAGGAGACTTGACATTTTTATTCCCCTCAACTAAAAGCTGTGTCAGCTTTCAGCACACCCACAGGACTGCGGTCAGGCTGGTGAGAGGAAGCACTCCATCACGCGTGGGTTGGTTTTGGCTCACAAGATCTCATCTGAAAAGAAAAACAAGATCAGGGGAGTTCCCACTCCCGGCAGCAGCAGTGGGTGGCATCTCTGCTGCCTGATTCAGACCCCTGCTTGTGCCTGCCCCCTGTACTGACAGCATGGTAGCTGACAAGCTCTGTACGTTGTCAGCAGCAAACTAAGTGGCAAAAAAGATTTTGCTTTGGTTGAGTAACACGTTGGTGGGTGTAGCAGCATCACATGATGTGTAGTCAAGAGAGACATGGATCTGTTGGAGCACGTCCAGAGGAGGGTCACAAAAGTTAGCCAGGGGAAGGAACATCTCACCTATGAGGACGGACTGAAAGGGCTGGGGCTCTCTGAGGATCTAAAGGAGGGCTGTAAGAGAAAAATATGTGGTTGTGATAAAAGCACTCGAATCTATCTTGTTTGCACACGTGCATCCTGAACATTTTTAGTCTTGTCCATGGAGAAGCTGCTCTATCAATAGTTAAGAAGTAATCTTTTTTTCAGAACAGATGACTGCCATCTCTTACCTCCTGCTAAACGTGGGTTTTTTTATTCTGTAGGTTTCATGTGGATAAGCTCTCTTCTGCACATGTGTATCTTCGGTTGCACAAGGTAAACCTGTGATGTGTCTTTAAAAAAGCCCTAAAATGGCATTCATCTGCATAGAACTATGCAGTCCCAGCCTGCAGTGGGCCCTGTGCGTGAGACCAGCTGAACTCACGTGAACAGTGAAGTTCACACGCTCCTGAAGGGTGCAGAATCACAGAATGGTCCGGGTTGGAAGGGATCTCAAGGATCATGAATCTCCAAGCCCCCCTGCCACAGGCAGGGCCACCAATCTCCCCATTTAATACCAGACCAGGCTGCCCAGGGCCCCATCCAATCTGGCCTTGAACACCTCCAGGGACGGGGCATCCACAGCCTCTCTGGGCAGCTGTTCCAGCATCTCGCCACTCTCACAGTAAAGAACTTCCCCCTGACATCCAACCTAAACCTTCCCCCCCTCAATTTAAAACCATTTCCCCTTGTCCTGCAGTTATCTACCCTTTCAAAGAGTTGATTCCCCTCCTGTTTGTAGGCTCCCTTTAGGTACTGAAAGGCTGCAATGAGGTCACCCCACAGCCTTCTGCAGTTATCTACCTCTGTGAGGGGACTGAATTACCTTCATCACCAAATAATGGTGGAAGGAGAGGGAAGCTTCACGTGGCCCAGCAGAACAAATGGTTTCTGACCTGGCATTGTGCATTTGTCTGAGGGAGAAAACCAGAGTGCACATCACTTGTTTCTCTCCTTACAAAAAAAAGATCTAGTAAAGTGTCAAGAGGAGAAAGTGCTGGGAGTGTTTGCAGGGCATCGTGTCCTGCTCCTGGCTATGGTGTGCTCTTCTGTGTGCTCCTCAGTCTCTACAGTCCCTTCTCACTTGCGTGGCTGATGTTGTGTGCTCTGTCACAGGGGCAGACAGTGGATGACATTCCTAAAGAAGTTCTGATAGACTGTGCCCACCTGGTGAAGGCTAACAGCATCCAAGGTGGGTCTGCTTCCCATTGGGGATGGGTGCAAGGTGTTTGTGGTGGGTGTTTCTGCTCCACACGAGCATGTGTGTGAACAAACATCTGTGAAAGCTGCTGCTCTGTTCTCTGTTAAGTCAGTGCCTGCTGGTCTTATGGGAAGCAGATGTCACTTACAGCTGCCGAGGCTGCTTGTTAGGCTTTCAGAAGGAGGAGTTTTAAATCTCTGAAATTCCTGTTTGTGCCTCCACGCTGCTGCCTGAGCCAGAGAGTCCTTGCAGGCTCTTCCCTCACACCACCTTGGGGCCCCCTTCCATAGCAGTCGCTCTTCTGGCAAAGACAGCCTCCATCTGGAGTTGGTTAGCACTGCTTGCAGCGCTCGTGTTACTGCAGAAATTGATGTTGTGGTGGTTTTTGTTTCACTGTAACGCTGGAAGGAGTTCTCCTTTTTCTTCTTTCTTGCCTTGTTAGTAATGCTGGTGACAAGAATAACTATCGGAGTTTGCATTTGCGCAGAAGTCCTTCAGCTGGGAATAGAGTAGAATAGAAATGCTTCCATCCTTTCTCCTCTGCTCCCCAGGTTGCAAGATGAACAACGTCAACGTGGTGTACACGCCATGGACCAACCTGAAGAAGACTGCAGACATGGATGTGGGGCAGATTGGGTTTCATAGGCAGAAGGATGTAAGTGTTTCCTGCAAGCCAGCAAGGGTCACCTGCTGACAGACCATCACATTTCCAGTTAGCAGCTGGATGGGTTACCTTCAGCATTTACCCTAAAGGAAGGGAATCATCTAATTCCTAAAGCTTGAGAGAGATCCTTGGGGCATGTTTAGGATTACCTTGCCATCAGCTGGGAATGCATGCTTGATGTTAGCCTGTGGCAGAGTGTAGCCTGTATGGGATGTTTGCAAAAAGCAGTGCAGTGTAGCTGATCGGTCTTTGCTAAACCTGAATGCTATCACATGTCTGTTCTATTGGCTTGAATTTATCTGCTCTGCAATCATCTCTGTACGAGCAGTCAGTTTGGATCAGCTCACAAACACCAATGCGATCAGATGGCTGGAAGGGCTCAGATGAGCTTGCTGTGCAGTGGAGGATTCAGGGGCATCTCTGAGATCTCCATTGCTGTGATGACTTTGCTGTCTCTGCTTTGGGCAATGTCTCACCACAGTGCTACCTCTGAATGTGTTAAACCTGTTATAAGGCAGAGCTGCTTAGCTTTGTTGTGGGGTCAGTCCCGCACACTGAGTTGTTCCCAGGCCTGACCTGTGTTCCCAAGTGATGTTAAGCATAAACTGTGGTTATGCAGCTTGGCTGCTGGGATAGAAAGCTCTCTAGAGATGCAGTTGTTTGACTAAAACAGGTCTGTACCATTGCAGGAAATGCAGAAAACACTGAAAACTACAGAATTAGCAACATGTGAGTTTCCCTTCCCCAAATGGTTGGTGGAGACCTGCTGACACCTCCTCAGGAATCAGCAGAGACTGAGAGAGTTGGTTTTGTTTTTTTTTTTTTGTCTTCTTTGTTAAGGCATATGCCAAGAAAACAAATTAGACACGCTTATGTACTCAGCAATACTTGTGCTTGTTAGTTGAGGGCCTTCTATTGCTGTTACGCAACACATTGAATAGGACAAGGTGGCTGTGATTTCCCTTCGCATCTGTTTTTGTGAGATTCAGCCACTTGTAAAGTAGAAATAAAGCATTTTCTTTCCCTAGACAAAGTGCCAAAATAAAAGTATTTTTTTTATAAGGATCATAGTTCTTTGCACTCCAAAGGTGAAAATGCTGACGGTGGAGAAGAAGGTGAATGAGATACTGAACCGATTAGAGAAGACAAAAGTGGAACGTTTCCCAGACCTGGCTGCTGAAAAGGAGGCCCGTGACAGAGAGGAGAGGAATGAGAAGAAAGCCCAAATCCAGGAGATGAAGCGGAAGGAAAAGGAAGAGATGAAGAAAAAGAAAGAGCTGGAAGAACTTAGGTAAGTCATAAATTGCAGTGCCAATGTTGAGCTTCTGTGGTTTTCATCAGCACTAGGGGAGAGTCATGGGTCAGCAATTTCTGTGTAATGGTTGGCGCAGCATTACTCAGTGTTCAGCTGACCTGCTCTTGCATAGATGTCTGCATGACCCAGTGATTCCCTTTGTCTTTACAATAAATGTATTTCTCCCTTTTTTTCCTAAAATAAACCTGGATGTTAAACCATTGTGAAAAGAAAGGACGGTGTCTTTTGAAATCTGTCCCTGACTTGGGAGAAAATTGGGTGAGCCACTTGTCTCTGTGGGATGGGAGCAATCTATTGGGTTCCAGCTTTCAGCTTTGTGTAAGTCTTGGAAAGCACTGAGCCACAGGCTTCAGCTTCCTGTTGCATCACCGTTGTTAATGAAACGTGTGATTCCTCAGTTTTCCTCTGTAGGCAATTGCATGCTCCTTTGAACACTGGAAGAGGAATGGTGTTTTAAAATGTCATATTGACCTTTCTGTCATTCAGCTACCAAACATGCAGCAGCATGGGGGAGCTCATTCCTCCCTCTTGCCTGTCCCATACAGACCTGGACGTGTCAGCTGGCCAAAGGCTTACTTTAAAGCACAAGATACTTTATTGTAGCAAGTTGAATTTATATGTCAATGATAGTGAGACTGGAATTTGAAAAAACTCAAGGACTCAACATGTGTACAGATCATAATGAGGGCTTTGGAAAAACAAACTCAGCACCAGGAGGCATATCTGTGCTGTTGAGGAAAGGCTCTGCCTTCCTGATAAGCCTTGCTCCAGAGCTGCCCCTTCATTCCCCAGAACGAAGGATTTTCTGTCTCCTGGTGCTGTCTAGCTGGTAGCTTCTGAACAAAGCTGTAGAGGCTGTGGAGATGAGTCTGCATAGCACCTGTGCTTTTTTCAGTTGTTTTAAATAGCTAAAGAGTGTAAGATAACTAGAAACTAGATCATAGAATCACAGAATGGCCTGGGTTGAAAAGGACCAAAATGATCATCTCGTTTCAACCCCCTGCTATGTGCAGGGTTGCCAACCAGCAGACCAGGCTGCCCAGAGCCACATCCAGCCTGGCCTTGAATGCCTCCAGAGATTGGGGCATCCACAACCTCCTTGGGATAACCCTGAGTTCAGAAAGAAATTATTGTTTTTTTTGGTACTTGATCCTATTTTATCAAAATAAAATGTGTTGGTGGCTTTTGCAAACATATCGTGTAAGATGATGTCATTTCCCTTTTAGGAGCTACTCATCGTTAATGAAGGCTGAGAATATGTCCTCCAATCAGGTAAGAGCTGAGTGATGCCCACAGAAACCTTTCAGAGGCAGCTGAAATTCAATGCAGGATTGTGACAGTCCAGCTCCGCATTGCGGTCTGGTTTTAGTGACTCCCACATGACAGTGCACATCTCCTTTGCCCCTTCTCATAGAAGGACACTGCCACTTTCCTTGGCATTCAGAGAAGGCCCTAATGCTTGGATGTATCCCAGGTGGAGCCTGTGCTGCTGGTGATGTGTACAGAACCCTCCCAGTCCCTCCCAAGGAGCAGGGAGAACTACAAGTGGGGCTCCAGGCTTGACTGTCCTTGCTTGGGAGCAGGAAGGTCATCCTGAGGGTGGCAGAGATTACTTTCACCTGCCATCTTGCTTTTTCAAGGGAAGGAGAAAATGCACAATGTATCTACAAACTGTAGATACAAGGGTGACAGTTCAGACAGGGATGAATATAGGTTCTGAGGGGCAGAGAGGAAGCTTGAAGTGATTTTCTTACAGAGGAATAAACAACTGTGAGGAGCACAGGAGGGAAATGAGGAGGTGGTCACGGGAGGGCTTGGGGCTGAAATTGAGAAGAGGTCCTGACCTGCACTGGGTGTGTCTGTGCTTTGCCTGATGTCTGGCTTATGTACATCTTCCCCTTGGTGAAGTCTTGGGCAAGGAGATCTTGGAGCTCATCTCAGTGACCCTCACTTGAAAATATGCCCTTTGTAAACTGTTAAAGGAGCTTGTGGTTTTCATGAGCTCTTCATTTTCCTCCTGGCCAGCATGCACATCCCCTCTGAGAATTAAGTGTTGAAATGTGAGTGCCTCCTGACGCACTGCTAGGGAGAGGAGTGGTGGAAATGCAGCACCAGGAGTCTCCTCCTTCAGCTTCTGAGCCCTTCTTAGTGCCGGGCTGCTTTCCTTCTGCTGGGTCATGAAATGGAATGGCCCGTGAGGCTGCTCATGCAGCCCCATCTTTGGTTCCTCCCAAATCACAGCAGATGGGCTGCAGCTTCAGGGTCAGCAAAGAGCAGCAGGTATTTCACAATGCAGAGCTTCTCTTGGTTCTGTTCCCATTCCAGAGCTACTCTTGGGTGTTTTTACTGGAATGGCAGGAAGCCAGAATAAATGGCAATGGTGAAATCCTGCTGAATACACCATTTCACCATTTTCCCCTTTGCAGTGGTCCTAAATGTGTCTTTCTTCCCACAGGATGGCAACGATTCTGATGACTTTATGTAAATAAAGTCATCTCCTTTCTCAATCCAAGGTGGTTTGGGATGTCTTAATGTCACCGTTGCTAAGAATGCCAAAAAATCAAACCAAATAAGTGAACTCTGGCTCCATTTCTTCAGAAGCTGGTAGATTCTCGTGGTGTCCTGACCAACCCTGAGCCATGGACAACTTCTGGATGGAGAAGATCTCTATGTCTGCACATACATCTCTTTTTTTCAGGGACGTAGGTGTAAGGAAGCAAAATTGAATTTCAGCTCTACAAAGACAATGCTATTTATTCTAGAAAAGGAGTTGCTGTAGCTTTTAATTGAATGAGATTGAAAGAATTTGTGCTGTCTCACTGCTGTCCTGGCAGCTTTGTGCTTCTGAAAGAGATGCCATTAATTTGGCATCACTGGTGAGCCCCAAAGCCACACTGCTGACTGCACAGCTCTTATCTTTGTGGTGGTGAAAGGCAGCAAAGCAAGGAGAATTCCCCCAAAATGTGGAGTTTCCCACTTTGAGAAGCTCACAGCTGCTTTGCAGACCCACCTGGCAGTAAGTGTGGCAGTTGGTTGCCACTTGTTAACCACAGAGCTGCAGCTGGTGAAGGCTTCCAGCAGGGCTGATGGTGCAACCTACACGAGCAACGTGGGCTATTATACGTGCCTTCAGCACAGGATGAGAACAGCCCCATGGTGTCATTCTTTTGAATTATACTTTATTTCTGAGCTGTTTCTTGGGAACCTTCTCTTCAGAGAAAAGCTGACAAAGAAGGGTTTTATGCAGCCTGTCCTGTTCAGAGCTTTCTGTAAGGTTTTGTGGATAAGTCTACGAAGCTATCACAATAATTGTTGCAGCACATGTATATATGCTATGATTAAATTCATACCAGGCTGCTAAAATGTGCTGGTGGGTGAGGGGAGTGGGAGAGTGGAACTGTGGGTGGTCAATTTGCTTGAGTGGGTTGCTAGGGAGAGGCTTTGCATGCAGCTTCCTCCAGAGCAGGGCCCTGCCGGTTGGTGTTCTCCCCTCAGAGCTACTGCCTGACTTTCCCAGGCTGCTTGAGGGATGTTTTCTGTCCCTCCCAGCTCTGTTTATCTTTCCTTTCATTCCACACCAGGGTGAGAAATGCTTTGCGGGCCTGCTGGCAGCAGCCAACAGGGCTCAGCTGCTCCTGGGCTGGGTTGCAGCCCCCGCTCCATCCCGCATCCCATCCTGTGATGGCTGTAGGAGTCGGATGTCTCCTCCCAAACAGCTCCACGCTTTGGAAAAGTGCCTGAGCTGTGTGTTATAGGGCTGTGAGAAGGTCGGTGGAGTCCCAGGGCATGGTTTTGGGATGTGTCTTTGGGTGCCTTTCAGCCTGGGTAGGGCAGGAGCATCCTCCAGCCGTGTGTCTCTCCAGGACGTGTCCCAGCGCGGGGCTGGGTTTGATGGGAAGAGCAGAAGGGAAGAGCCCTTGGACCCACACAGAGAGGAGTTTATTGTTACTGTAACTGAAATGTTAACCAGAGAATTACAGTTAATCCAAATGGACTTAATACAGGAGGGGGAAAAAAAAAACCACCCACACCCTGCTACAAGTTCCAATGAATAACGGGGCCGGGCAGAGTGTGAGGAGCTGGGGGGGACGTGGGTGTTTGTCCCCCACCCTTCCCTGAGCAGCCGCCCTGCTGCTGCCATCAATGGAGTCATTCACAGGATGGGGGTGTTGGCCAGGGCTCACCAGCAGTGCTGCAGCTGCCAACTGTTGTGCTTGGCACCAGTGCCTGCCAATGGCTCTGGTGTCCTTGGGAGTTTAGGGTTGGGCAGCGTCCCCGTGGGCATCACTGCCTGTGGGCTGTGTGTGACTGTCCTCTGTGTCAGGGTGATGCCCAGATGGGGAAACTGAGGCACGGGGGTGGTCAGGAACGTTTGTTGTCTGTGTTTGGGATATTCAGGTGGGAAGAAGCTTTTTCCAAAAGATTTTGGGTTGCCTGTGCTACCCAACAGCATCGCAGCTCTGTAGCTCTGCAGCTGCTAATTCTGAGATGAAAACAGGAAGCTGCTGTGCCAACAGCAATAAACGGCCCTGTGGGCTGGGACCTGCACCCCAGGCAGGGCTGATGAGGAGGGTATGGAGCTCCCCAAGCTGTGGGCTATGTAGGGTGGCAGGGGTGGGGATAGAGTGCGGATGGGAACAGTAATAGTAATGGTCTGGCATGGAAGTGGGGATGAGATCAGGAATGAGGATGAGGGTGGAATGGGAATAGGAAACTGGGATGGGATGGGATGATATGGGATGGAGGGAGGGATGAGGATGGGAATGGAGATAGGTGTGGTATTGGGAACAGGGATGGGAAGGGGGTGGGATGGAGGTTGAGATGGAAACAGGAACAGGAATGGGAACAGAGATGGAATGAGATGGAACAGGAATGGGGATAGAATGGGAACAGGGGTGGGCACAGGGACAGGAAGAGCTGTGGCCTGAACAAACCTCTGGAAAACAAAATCAGAGTTGCTGTTGGCGAAGACCTGTTTCTCCCAGGAGCAGGCAGTGAAGCAGAGCTGTGTGTGCAGGTGTGTGCATTCTGGGGGCATGGCTGCACCCCCACAGCAAAGCTGGGGAGAGCCCAAGGTGGGGCTGGGCGCGGGGCCGGCTGTTTTCCCCAGCTCCATTGTTGCTCTTGGCACCAAGGCCCCAGCTCGGGTACCTGGGGCCTCCAGCTGCCCTCTCCCTGCCCTCCGCCAGGGAAAAACAACCCACACCCTGCCCGCCAACCTGGGACATGGGGATAGCTTCCAGGGGCCCTGCTTTGGGGCCAGGAGGGATTCTCCATTAGAGACCCCTACCTTGCCCAGCACGCAAGTGTATGTGCACGTCTGCATGAGCCTATGTCCCTTGCTTGGGGATAGCTCTGTGAGATACTCCCATCTCACTCCACCATCTGTACCATGCTAATGCCCCCAGTTTGGATCTGGGCTCCTCCCCAGCCCTCCTGGGCCCCCCATCCCAATATGCCAAAGGCAGGAACCACTTGTCCCCATACAGATTTATTGTGCCAGTATTACATTGCTGGTGCAGCCAGGAAAGGAGGGGTGAAGGTGGCTGAAAGTAGGGCACAAACCAGCTGTGCCCCAGCCCATACAGGTCCTCGTCCTGCGGGGACCCCATGCCCCAGGACTCTGCAGCCCACTCAAGAGCCAGGGACCAGCCCCGTGCACCCCAAAAAGCATTATGCTGGGGGGATCTGGACCTCCTAGGGTCCTTCCTGCCCTGTCCCCAAGGGCTGGCAGTGGGAGCAGGGGATGCTCTCAGCGCTGGGAGGGGTTTCTCCATCCCAGTGCCATTAGCATGGCTCCAAGTCTGCATCATGGGCCAGGAGGACCGGGGGGACCTGGCGGTCCTGGGGGGCCTCTCAGTCCAGGGTCTCCTTTGGGACCTGTGGGGCCAATCTGTCCCACAGCTCCAGGGTTCCCAGGGAGCCCCAATTTTCCTTGAGGACCAGGAGGTCCTGTTGGTCCTGGCCCCCCCTCTGGTCCTGGGGGACCCACATCTCCCTTGGGTCCCATCTCTCCCCTGGAGCCAGACTGCCCAAAGCTGCCTTTAGCGCCCTTGAGGCCGGGAAAACCCTTTGCACCCATTGGACCCCTTTCCCCCTGGGGACCGGGGGGACCAGGAGGTCCGGGGGAGCCAGGGGGGCCTGGCAAGCCCAGGCTGCCCACGTCGCCCTTCTCTCCTTTGCTTCCTGCGGGACCCTTGATGCCAACATCACCCTTGAGGCCACGGGGACCTGGAAGGCCTGGCACACCTGCAGGAGGAAGAGGGAGGGGTGAGTGTGATGCATGGGGTGTGGCATCACAGAGCTGTAACAGAGGGCCTGAGGATACTACCATTGCTTTTTCCTGGTATTACACCCCTTTTGGAGCCAAAGGCAGCAGGGGACAGTGCTCAAAAGGACTGAATTCAGTGTTCTTGGCACTGCGGGATGCCCTGGACAGGACTGGGAACAGTGGGTCCCAGCCACCATGCTTGGGGATGCAGGTGGATGGATGTCCCCAGGCCACTGAAGTCCCCATGGCTAGTTTCAGGCATCCTCGTCCTGGGGTGTCTGTGCCCTCCACACCAGGACGGAGGAGTCACCAGCAATGGAGTCACCTGCACCAAGGGGAAAGCTGCAGAGTGCAGAAACATAGAAATGTGGCACTTAGGGACATGGTTTGGTATAGTGGATATGGTGGGGATGGGTTGGAGTTGGACTTGGGGATCTTAGAGATCTTCTCCAGCTGGAATGATTCCATGATTCTATGAGTGAGCATGGTGGTGATGGGTTAAGAGTTCGACTTGATGATTCTGGAAGCGTTTTCCAACCTTCGTGACTATGATTCCAAGACTCAGCTTCCAAACCCGCCTTCCCACATCAGACGCAGCCCCCAAACCCAACAGACCCAACCCCAACCCAAGCTGAGATGCTCCTCACCTCGTAAGATGGTGATGTTCTTCAGCATCTGTCCATGCCGGACATCCACCACCTTCATCTCCTCCATCACCATGGACAGGTTGCGGATGTCGAAGTCAAGCCGGGCGCTGAGCAAGCCAAAGCGCTCCCGCAGAAGGTCCGTGGAACCCTGGACCAGGCTGAGGGATTTGTTCAGGTAGTAGAGCTCCTCAGCGTGGGCATGGAAACCCAAGGTGCAGGAGAGACGCACGTCATCCAGGTAGCGCAGCATGCTGTGCACGTGGCTGTCGGTGGCATTGATGTTGGTGAAGATGGTACCAATCTCAATCTCATGCGAGGCCATGCGACCTTCCAGCGTCTCGAAGCGTTCAGCCGTGCGGTTCTGCGCGTACTTGGCGTGGTAGCGCAGGTCGTTCATGTTCTCCTCGTGGTCATCCAGGAAGGAGGAGATGTTGTCCAGCTGCAGCTGCAGCCCCATCACCTGCAGCACCAGGTCGTGCATGCCCTCGGCGTTCTGGCCCACCTGCCGGGCTGCAGCACCCACACCAGCCTGGATGCTCCTGACCAGCTCACTCGTCTCGGTGGAGGTGGCCCGCAGTCCTGCAAAGAGCCGTGTGTAGTTCTGCCACTCGGTGACCATCTTCTGCAGCGTCAACGTCTCCTCGTCCGTCTTCCTCTGGATGAGTTGGATCCAGTCAGAGGTTTGCCCCAAGGTGAAGTTGAGCTGCTGCATGGCGGCACGCACGTCAAAGCACTCCTGTTCCAAGCCCTTGAGTGAGCCATCAAGCTGGGAGGTGATGGCCCGCCAGCCCCCCAGCTGGGCCACCAGTTGCCCCACGCTCTCGTTCAGCCGTCGGGTGGAGGAGGAGCAGTCGGCCACCTCGCTGCTGATCTCGTTGCTGCTAGATGAGAGTGCGTCATGGGTGCGGGAGGTGCGGTCGAGGAGGACCTCCTGAACCAAGAGCATCTTCTGGATCTCCTCCAGCTCATCTTGCAGCTTGCCAAGCTCCTGGCCCAGCTGCCCTGTCTCCAGGCAGAGGGAGCAGTTGCCTGAGCTCTTCTCATCTGAAAGAAGGACAAAGGGGTCCAGCACCACACTGCCCACCATGGAACCCCATAGCTCACTCCACTCCCCATCCCCACACCACCAACCATGGGAACAACACCAAAACCCAACCCATGGTCCCTCCCTGCATCGCCAACCATGGGAACAACCCCATAGCCCACCCCATACTCTGTCCCCACACAGCCAATCATGGGAGGCATCCCATGGCCCATGCACCATCCCCGCAGACCCCAGTGATGGACACTGCAGACCCATGGCTGGGGAGAAGCCGTGCAGACTCACCCAGCTCCTGGAGGTCCTCCTGGATGGACAAGATCTTCTCCTCATAGTACATCTGGGCCGAGCTGATGTCTCCAGAGATGGAGTTGACTTTCTTGAAGACTGTGGAGGGGAGGTGGGCAGTGAGGGGACAGTACAGCCATCACCATTCACACCAAAGGGCTTGAGAATCCCACAATGTCTCCAAAGGCTTTCTGATCCTCAATGGGGTCATTGGGACCTCCAGAGCCATACGGCACCTGCAGGACACCCCTCACCTCCCCCCCACACACACATCCCCACACATCCCCACACATCTCTTCTCTTTGTCACTTTGGGAGCTTGGGATGTGGGACGGCTTCAGCCCCTCTCCATGGAGCCCAACTATTCCCCATGAAAGGGAGAAGGGAAGGAAGGAGCCAGCCCCCAGCCCTGCCTGTGCTCACCCAGGGCAGCCAGCACGGTCACGGCCACGATGAGCAGCACGGAGAAGACATAGAGGACTTTGACAGCCGTCTGCAGGGACAGGTTCTTCTGGCACTGGCTGCAGCCACCCCGTGCCCTGCCTGAGCAGGAGAGGGATGAATCAGGGTTGTACCACAGGATGGATTAGGGAGGGAAGAGGGATGGATCAGGGATAGATCAGAGGTGGATTGGGGATAGAGCAGGGATGGACCAGAGGATGGATCAGGGATGGATGAAAGGATGCATCAGACCTTTGCCCCCGTCTACCCCATGGATGGGTCTGGCAGGGTGGCCTCGCTCCTTACCGTTTGGTCGGTAGCAGAAGGATGGCATCTCCTCCTCCTCTCCTCCCACCAGGTCCTCTGCTGGAAGACAATACGAGGAGCAGGTCGGTGTCACCAGAGCTCCAGCAGGGCTGAGGGGAGAGCCCAACTGTGGTGACACCTTCCTGGGTGAAAATCCCTTCCAAGGATTCACCAAAATCTTGCACAGGGCATGGAGCAGATCCAAGCCCCAAAAGGAAAGCAGTGGCTCCCCAAAAGATGCACCAGTCCAATGTCACCACAGCTCTGGGGGTGTCACCCAAAGTCTGGTGGCTGCTCTGGTTTTACAGGACTTGGCCAGAACCTCTGAGCCTGCTTCATTCCCAAAAATATTATTTCTGAACTGTCCTATCCCTGTGTTTTGCATGGAAAGCATAAAAGTGGAAAAAAGGCCATCCCCCAACCCGAAGGGCTTTGCCACATCCCCATGGGCAGCTGGGCCACAACATGGGGGGCAGTGAGCCCAGGACTTCCCCCCTCCCCCAAGCACTCTGCATGCATGGCAAGCAAGATTCCCCGTGTCTTGCCGAGACCCATCTGAGGACTGCACACAATCAGCCCAGCAGCTCCGCAGCCTCCCCTCTGCCCAAGCCCCCCAACCTGCCCCACAGCCAGCTCTCAGTGCTGAGGTTGCTGCACCAAGGGTGCCGCGAGGGGCCGCGTCCCATGGCCAGAGTGCCGCACCTCCAGCATCCCCTGCTTATAAACCCTGCCTCCCCCACGGAAACCCAGGGCGGAGGTGGTGGGGGGGCCTCCCTCTGCCCTCCACATCTCTCCTGCCTAATGTTGTCCCATGTTTGCTTTTCTGCCCAGCGCTAGGCTGCGAGGAGGAGGTCTGCCCTTCACCCCTCTCCCCAACCACCACCATGGGTGTCTTCAGAGGTGGGGCAACACCTCAGAGGGCTTTGGGTTCCCCTGGCCACTTCCTATCTCTGCGGATGATAGCATGGACCCCCTACTCGGGTACTATTCTGCCACCAACCCTACTCCTTACCCCACATTTCCCCATGGCTCTGTCTGTCACTCACCTCTCATTGCCCCGAACAGCCCGGATGAGAGCAGGGACGCAGTGGGGGCCTCACCGCCCCGATTCCCGCAGCCGTCCCTTCACGTCCCCTCCTGCTGTGCTGCCGAGCATGGCCGGGGCACCCTGCTGCCCTTCCTTGTCCCGATCAAAAGCCTTTGGGATCCTTCAGAAGCAACCCCATTGGCTGGGGGGCACCCCCAGGACCAGTCGCTCACCCATGGCCTCTGCGGGATGGGGTGCGGGGAGCGCAGCCGCGCTTGGCTGCCGTCCACCCAAGCGTGAGGCGCCGGGATATGAGCTGGAGAAGAAAGGCTGCTCCCGCGCCTGCCTCCTTCCCTCCGGCCCTAATGACTACCAAATGTCCCACGGAACGCCGCTGTGCCGGCCAAGGGGGAGGGATGGGGTGGGGAGGAGGTTGGGGAACGCTGGGGAGGTGGATGGGGATGCGTTCCAGGGGCTGTGCCCAGTGGTACTGGGGGGTTTTGGATCTGGGAATGGGGTCCTGGTGTATGGGAATGGGGTCCTGATCTGGTGATGGGGTCCTCATTCCGGCCATGGGGAGATGGAGTCCGGGGTTTCGGATTTAGGATCCAGGGGTGGGATTTGTCTCGTCCTTTACAGGGTCTTAGTCTGGGGATGTGATTCTGATGCATGGGGTCGGGCTGAAGGGTTTGGAATTGGGGCCTGGTTAAGGCCACAGGGAGATGAGGTTTTGGGGTCTGGGGTGCTGGGCATGGCACACACATTTGGATCAGGGACACGAGTTGCTATGTTCTGGGTTCTGGGGTCCTGCTTTGAGCTCATGGTTCTAGCTGGGGCTGTGGGCGCTGTGGTTTGGTGCTGTGGTCCTGACTCAGAGATGTGGGGTGGGAGTCCCACGTGAGTTGGATACATTTTGGATGCCTCATCCCCACAGTGCTGGGGACCACTGAGACATCACCAGTGGCTTTGGAAGGAGGGAACAAAAAGGATGGTGGGAGGAGAAATCCCAGCACCAGGGGGGGAGTGTGAGGGGCTTCCAAGACCCTGCTCACCGTGTATGCTTTCTGCAAGGCTGCTGCTGCCCTCTGGCGAGACCCTGCTGGAGGACCACCATGCTCCTTGCACGGCCAACTTACTCCTCGCATGGCCACCAACCTTCCTGAAGAGCCACCTTCCTCCTCATGTGGTCACCATCCTCCATGCATGGCCACCATCCTACTCTCATGGGCCACCATCCTCCTCACATGGGCACCATCCTCCCTGCATGGCCACAGGTGGGACGTGGAGGCCACCAACACCTGCCTTCCTCCTTATTCTGGAATGGCTTCTGGATGCTTCCATCCCTCTTTTTGGGGTCTCAGCTGTCCTCCTAGAGCCCCTTCAACATTTTCAGGTCTCTCTGCTGTTTCCTCCCTCCCAGATCAGGGGAGGAGGGAACAGGTGAACACACCAAGCCCAACCAGTACCACTTCCTAAAGGCCATGAGCCCCACACAGTGCTGTGGGGATGTCCTGGGGGCACACACCATTGCCATCCTATGGCTGGAGGGGAAAGATGTCCAGTCCTTTCACTGGGACCCCCTCTGGCTCTGTCCCCAGTGATGCCTACCACCCTCTGCCCCATCCACACACACACAGTGGATGCATGGGGATCTTCACACCGCACACTCGTGGGACAGAGAGCATGAATGCACAGATGTGATTTAGAAAAGATTTTAATAAGAAAATACAAGATAGGGCAGATTACAGTGACTGGCCCCAGAATAAAAAAAAAAAAATACAAGGCAGAACATACAGCAGCTTCTGGTCCCATTTCACACACAGCCGACCCCTTCCCACCCCTCTCCCTCACCCATGCCCTGTCCATTGGTGACTGTGCAGGCTGGGCTCCCAGCACTGCCTCCCTCATTGGACAGGATGAGGTCGCTGGCCCTGCACATTTGGTGGATTCCTCCCTTTCTTCCATGGTCAGGCATTAGAATAGGGAGGTGATGGGGTCACTGTCCCTGGAGATAGTCAAGAAATGTGGAGATGTGGCACTTGTGGACGTGGTGGAGATGGAGTGGAGTTGGACTTGGTGATTTTTAAGGTGTTCTCCTAACTTCATGATTCTGGGATTTTATAGGAAAGGAATGGTGTGGCTGAACGTTTAGAACCTATCAGTTTCAGGTAGTGGATATCAATGGCATGGGAGATGGTAATGGGCCTACGTTTGGACTTGATGATTTTGGAGGTTTTTTCCAACCTTTATGATTCTGTGACTCCATATGAAAGGAATGGGGTGGCCGAGCCTACAGATCCTACAGACTGGGGCAGGGACATGTATGGATATTAACTGGGCTTGTTAAGTTTGGAAAAGAGAAGGCTCTGTGAAGACCTCATTGTGGCCTTCCAGTATTTGAAGGGAGCATATAAACAGGAAGGGGAACGGCTGTTTATGAGGGTGGATAGTGATAGGATAAGGGGAAATGGTTTTAAACTAAGACAGGGGAGGTTTAGGTTAGATCTTAGGAGGAAGTTTTTCACCCAGAGGGTGGTGAGGCACTGGAACAGGTTGCCCAAGGAGGCTGTGGATGCTCCATCCCTGGAGGCATTCAAGGCCAGGCTGGATGTGGCTCTGGGCAGCCTGGTCTGCTGGTTGGTGACCTGCACACAGCAGGGGGTTGGAAATAGATGATCAATGTGGTCCTTTTCAACCCAGGCCATTCTATGATTCTATGATATCAATGGCATGGGACATGGTTATTGGGCACAGTGGGGATGGATTGTGGTTGGACTTGGAGATCTTAGAGGTCTTCTGCAACCTTAATGATTCTATGATTCTTTATCAGTGGCATAGGTTGGTGGAGCCTCCAAACTACAGGTTCAGGCAAAGGATACAGGTCTGGACATCAGTGGCATGGAACATGGTCAGCGGACATGATGGGGTTGGACTTGGTGATCTTAGGGATATTCTCCAACCTGAATGGTTCTCTGATTCTACAACAGGACTAGTACCATCCTGCAGCCCCGAGCCCTACTCAGCATCACTGTCTACACTCTCCATGGCCTCCTCCACCTTCTGCTTGTACTCAGCCCTGTCCTCCCGCAGCCGCGCCAACCAGGGCAGGAGGGGCTTGGTGGGGCCTGGCGCTGCCTCTCCCTCAATGGGGGTGATCCTGAGGATCAGCGGGTGATGGAAGCAGAGCTGGTAGGGGCCGAGCACCTCGCTGTGCACATATGTGGCCCTAAGGGCGGCCAAGATGAGTGACAAGTTGTCTGCCCAGTGTTTGCCCGCGCTTTGGGCCAGCCGCTGCAGGCTGGTGGTGATGGCTGTCACCCAATTGGGTGGTGGGTATTGCACATCCACATCGATCTGCAGCCCCATCTGCACCGCGTCCCGCAGGAAATGCTCGCGGTGCCCCACGCTGACACAGCACGGCATCCCCAACCGGTGTGCCACGTGCACTCGCAGCAGCTCGACCACCTCCTCCATTTTGCCTTTTTGAATTGGGAAGGCGTCCACCCACCTCGAGAACTTATCCAGCAGCACCAGCAGGGAGGAATAGCCCTCTGAGGAGCGGGGCAGGCCCTTGATATGGGCCAGCTGCAGCCGCGACCACGGCCCCTCCGTGCGCTGGGGCTGCGGGGAGGTACTGGTGCAGCTGCAGCGCTGCACCCACTGGGCCACCTGCTCGTGGTCCCCTTCCCAGCATGCCACCTGCCATACCCTGTTCAGCATTTTCCTCACCTCCACGTGCCCGATATGGCTGAGGGCGACGATCTCCTGCCTCTCGTACTTGGATGGCTCCCACACCCGCTGGCCACGAGCGGACAACACCCACATTTGGATGCTCTGCGCTCTCTCCACCACCTTCCGGTTCCACTCCAGCTGCTTCCCATCCCTACCGTACCCAACATGCAGCACCCCCGGGTTGGCATGCACCCACTGCAAGACGCTTTGCCACAACTGCTCATTGCTTCTGTCCTTACTGTCCCCATCACACAGCCCTTGCACCACGCTCTGGGCGTTGGCATAGATGTACAAGGGCTTGGAGCTCCGGTGCTCCTGCAGCAGCACCCTGATGGCCTCCAGCTCCACGTCCGCCGGCGAGCCATGCTGCATCAACCCCAACAGCCAGCGCTCCTCCAGGTTGGTGGCAGCAAAGCCTAAGGCTGCCGTGCAGGCCCAGCTCCCCGCTGTGAACCAAATATCTCTGCGGGGCACACTGGATGGTACCTGTTGTAGGGGACGTGCAAGGTGCACCAGCGCTCGTGAGGGCTGTGGGGCTGTGGGGATGTTTTTCCCCCCATTGACCAGCAGCAAGTTCCACTGCTTCTTGCAGGGGGTCGGCCAGCAGAAGGTCTTGGTGTCACCCCAAAGGAGGTACTTCCAAGGAGAACAGGGCATTTGGATGATGATTGGAGCTGGCCCTATGAGATCCTGGAACGCATCCACTGCTCTGACCACCGCAACACAGTGCTTCTCCTTGGGCAAATAGAACACCTGATGCTTCTTCAGCACTTTGGACTTGAACCAGACAGGGACCATCTGCCCCTTCTCATTCTCCTGCAGCAGAGCAGCCCCCGTGGTCTGATTGCTCACCGTTGGCCTGATGATGAATGGCTGCGACCGATCGATGAAGCGCAACGCCGGCGCTGTCAGGATGGCCTGTATCAGCTTCCGCAGCGCCTGCTGCTGCTTCTGGCCCCATTGCCACTCCTTGTTCACCAGCTTCTGCAGGGGCAGCTCCAGCTTTGCATAGTCTTCCACATGGTCCTGATAACAGTATAGCATCTTCAGCAGCGAGCAGAGGCTGCTCGGGTCCGATGGGGATGGGACCTTCGTAATGTGCTCCCGTTTGCTTGCAGGCAGCTCCCGGCCGCGTGCCGACAGCTTCATCCCTAGGTAGTCCACCTCAGGCTGCACCAGCTGCGCCTTCCGCAGCTTGACTTTAAAACCAGTGTCTTGGATCAGCCGCAGAACCCTCCTTGTGCGGGATGCGGTCTCCTCACGGGTTCTCCCAGCGATGATCATATCATCTACGTAAGAAGACACCCAGCCTTTGTCCTCTGGGGGCAGCTGGGCCAGCATGCGGGCCACGCGGCGGTGGACGATGCTGTTGGTGAGGTAGAAGCATGGTGGCAGGCGGGCAAACAGATACTTCTGCCTTCGGAAGGTGAAGGCGAACCTGAGCCTGGAGGCGGCCGTCAGCGGGATGGCGAAGGAGGAGCAGGACAGATCGAGGGTGGAGAAATAGCGGCTGTGAGGGCTGAGCACTCTCACCACCTCCGTCTTGTGCAGGGACTCCGTCGGCTGCCGGGGGATGACTTTGTGGATGGCCTTGAAGTCGAGCGTCAGCCGCATCTCCCCATTTTTTTTGGAGAAGAGGTGCAGACGGCTGTTGTAGGGCGACCTGCCCTGCACCACGATGCCCTCCTCCAGCATCTGTTGCAACAGCAAGGCCATCTGTCTCTCCAAGTCTGGCAGGAGTGATTTCTCTTTTTGGCACGGCACTCGATGATCCCAGGTCACGTCCTCCTCCTCAGCCACCAGCCCGCAGTCCAAGTCGTATCTTGCCCACACGTCTGGGAACTCCTTCACCCACGGGTTCTTGTGCTCATCCTGGAGCTCCATCATTCCATGGTACCCCTCCATCCATCGCCTGATGCTCCTGTTGCGGAACTCCATGACCCCACAGATGTGTACTGGGGGTTCAGAAGCTGACAGAAAGAGACTAAATGCCTCCGGGTCTGCACTTCAAAGGAGGAGAGTGAAAAAAGGGGAGGGTGAGGAAGGTGGTGTTTCACCCACAGAGTGGTGACCTCACCTCTCGCAGCTGGTTCTGAGGTCTGTGGGAGAAGAGCAGAGCTGCTATGAGAGCAGAACCGATAGCAAAACCCTCCCCCGCATTAACCTTGAGCACAGAGTACAGCACACAGAAATAGGAACATGAAACGAGCTGCTGCATCCCATGCAGAGCATCCCATGCATGGCCGTGCACCCCTATGAACTCCTGTGTACCCCTATACAACCCGGACAAGTATCCCATATGCAGCCCTGCTCTCCAATGCACCCTATGCATGAGTGACACGTTCAGCCTCATGCACGCCCACACATGAGCAGCCCTGCAGCCATATGCACCCCTCTGCACAAGTGCCCCATACACCCCATGCAGCCCTATACATGAGTGTCCAATTCACCCCATGCACAACTGTCTCATTTGTGACACTACACCCCCCATGCACCCCCATGAACAAGGGTTCCATACACCTCGTGAACCCCTGTGTATGGGCATCCCATACACCCTGTGCACCCCTATGCACAGTATCCCACTCACAGCCCTGCATCCCCACGCATTCCCATGCACACCCATACATGAGTATCCCATACACAGCCCTGTACCCCCAAACACCGTATGCACAGCACCACATTCACAACCCCACACCCTCACACACCCTATGCAGTGTCCCATACACAACCCTGCATTCCCACGCACACCCATGCACGAATACCCCATACACAGCCCCACACCCCCTTATGCACAGCATCCCACTCACAGCCCTGCACCCGCATACACACCCATACACGAATATCCCATACACAGCCCTGCACCCCCATGCCCCCCCATGCACAGCGTCCCATTCACAGCTAAACACCCCCATGCATCCCCATACAGTGTCCCATACAATCTTCCACCCTCATGCACCCCCATACACGAGTATCCAATACACAGCCCTGCACCCCCACTTCTCCCTATGCGTAGTGTCCCATACACAGCCCTGCACCCCCCTATGCACAGCGTCCCACTCACAGCCCTGCACCCCAATGCACACCCATACACGAATATCCCATACACAGCCCTGCACCCCCACACCCCTATGCACAGGGTCCCATTCGCAGCCCTGCACCCCCAAACACCCCTACGCACGAGCATCCCATTCACAGCCCCGCACCCCCGTGCACGCCCCATGTACCCACATGCACAGTGTCCCATACACCCCAAACGCAAACACCCCATACACCCCCCGCGCACCCCCACACACCTCTATGCACAGAGTCCCGTACATCCCACGAACTCCACGCACCCCTATGCACGAGTGCCCCATATACCCCAATAACCCCCCACGCACCCCTACGTACGACCATCCCGCACACCCCCTATGCACGACTGTCCCACCTCCATCCAGCGCAGTGACCCATACCCAGCCCCGCACCCCCATACACCTCCAACCTCCCCCAGGTACCCGCACCGCTCTGCTGCAGCCTCGCTCTCTCCGTGGCTCCGTTCCGCTTCCGCGGGGCCGCTCCCCAACCCCCCCCCACCCCCCGCAGCCGCCCCTCCCACTGCCCCCATCCGCTCCGACCCGCTGCCCCCGGGGCTGTGTTATCCCGTTGCTCCGCGCCCGCTTATCGCTGCGATGAGAGAGTGCTTATCGGCACTTTGGGATTCTTTGCAATAGGGTTCTTTCTTTGGTTTGTTTTGGTTTTGTTTTGGTTTTGTTTTGTTTTGTTTTTTCCTGTATTTGCTTTTTTCGTTTTGCGGAGGTTTTGGTTGCACGCCCCCCCCCCCCTCCGTGCCGGTTTCCAGCGGAGGAGAGACTGCGTGCCTCAGTTTCCCCAATGAAGGAGGAGGGTTGGAGGGGAAGCGAAGCCGCGCCCATCCCCGCAGCGTCGGGGAGACGGCGGATATGGGGAGGAGGGGGGACCTGGGGGGGGCTGGTTCCAGAAAGCTCCGGGCTGGGAGCTGGGCGGACCCGCGGCGACGGGGCGGATAAAAGGGGGCGGGTGGGGGCGGGCAGCGGAGCTCCTGGGGCAGCCGGCACTGAGCGTAGGTATTTTTTTCCCCTTCCCTTCCCTTCCCTTCCCTTCCCTTCCCTTCCCTTCCCTTCCCTTCCCTTCCCTTCCCTTCCCTTCCCTTCCCTGTTGGGGTTGCACAGCTGCTGGCAGTCCATACGGACTCACCATGGGGGCAGAGCTATGCCCCCTTGGTTGCCCCCAGCACTTCTGTGCCATGGGATGTGATGCACCAGGCAGGAGTTTCCCACAATGCTGTGTGCTGGGCAGGATGGGAGGACATCATTATTTTTTTTTTTATTTGGAGGGGGGGGGGCAGGGCAGCAGTTATTTTGGAGAATGATCAGCATTTGGGGTGGGGAGGGGTTAGCAGGTTTTTGGTTTTTTTTGGGGGGGGGAGGGGGCAGCAGTATTTTTGTGGGGCAGCAATGGGACCACGCAGCAGCACCCACCAACGATGCTGCAGTGGGGCACAGGGCCAGGATCCCCCCAGGGAGGGGCTGAGCCCAGGGACAGAGCGCCGGTGCAGCTGATGATTGCACAACTTTTTATTTTTCGGGCATTTAGTAGCCACACGCTGCAGCTGAGCTATTGCACAACGCTCTTTCTTTTTTTTGGGGCAGCCCCACTGCGGGGCTTTGCCTCC